AATGCCTTTAATGGGTCAGCATTTGCATTTTCCATGATCAAAACTAGAAGTGGACTTTATGGATATCCTACTCAAAGATAGGGAACTTGCCCACAGTCGGCCAAGCCTGCACCGACCACAAACAAACCATATTAAAATGCAATCCCTACACTTCAAAATTTTTCAGATTTCACAAAAAGTGGATATGATTTGATGCTTTGGAATCACTACTTCTTTGAATTGAATGTGGTGGGGGTGGCGTATAGTTTTAAGAACAAATAATTATAATACTTTCTTTCTCCTACTCAATCCTTCATACTCCTTATTATAAAATAAAATAAAATAAAATAAAGAAAAATTTCGTTCACTTTTCCAGCCGGCTAGCGGCCGCTGTATAATATAAAACGCCTGCCGGCTGCCGGTAAAATTTTATCCTTCCTTTTTTAAAAAAAAAATTTGAACTTTTGGTGGGGCAGTGACTATCTGTAATGCCTTGGGTTATAGGGCATATTAGGAAATGATTTTCAAAGGAATTGAAAAAGAAAAATTACTGTAATGCCTTGGGTTACAGGGCACATTAGGAAATGTTCTTCGAAGGAATTGAAAAAGAAAAATTAAGCAAGTGTAATAATGTAGGTTTGATTAAGTGTCCAAGTTTTGAAGTCAACACAAGAAAATTAATTTTTTTAAATAGTATGTTAATTTGGGGTGTGCCTTTGAGGTCATTCAAAAAAGTATTAGTATCAAGATATGAGGCGGATGAATCGCTAATAAATTATTATTAGATATCTCACTCCAATTAGTCTAAAAGGATATTTGGTATAAGGTTTGAAACTAGTAATTAATAGTTTTATTTAATTCACTAAATAAAAATATTTAAATTATTGATAATAACAATTATTAACTGTTAAATTAGATAAAACCTTTAATTACTAATTTTAAATACTATACCAATCAGTTTCTAAAACTTATTAATAAGATCTTCGAACTTGCATTCAAGAATCATTTTAGTTTCACATATTGAAATTTTACAAACGAATAAAATGAGCAGAGTAACTCCCCTTGCTGGTTTATACACTTCTCATTTTTCTTTCAGCATTTTAGAATTAAAAGAGAAAAAAAAAAAAGTCCTTAGAAGAGTTATCAAGCTATTTATATGGGGGATGGTGTTATTGAAACAATTATTTTATTTTATTTTTTTATACAATTTTTATATGTTATTAAATAAGTAAATATATTTAATAATATAAATTTTACATAAATAAAAAAATTAATTATTTTAATAACACATTCAATTAAAAAAAATAAAATAATCATCCCAATAACATTTTAACTTCTTTTGAACTAAAAAGAAGAAAAAAGTAGCACCAGTTAGATATGCAATTATGAATTCAAGATTTGCCACCCTATATCTAGGGCCTAGAAATTTCAACAACAAAGATTCATTCTCTCTGCACCCTGCTTTTGACTTCTTGGTGGAAAAAAAAAGGGTTTCAGAATTACGCCGAAATGAACTTTCTCTTCTCTACAGTCTACCCACTACGTTTCCCATTTCCAAATTAAATCAATACGTACAAAAATAGTCTTCTTTTTTTTTTTTATTTTATTTTATTTTATGTCTTGCTCTCTTTGTGTGAGAGATGTGAAACTAAAACAAAAAAATTAATTTCTATGCAAATTCTGACAATTAATGGCGTTGTAAGAAATGATTATAATTATGTTAAAAATGCTAGTTTCAATCTTTAAATTGATATTTTAATGTAAATAATTTCAAGTGAAATCCTTAATAGTCCATCTTTCACTTTTCTCACCTGTTTTTCATCAGATTTTTACTCATTGCCTTCTTTTCCCTTTAGATCTAGCATATTTTCTTCTCAAATCACAAAAAACCCAAAAACAGTTATGGTTTTCATCTCTGCACAAAACTGTAATCTGATTGAGGATTCTTGCTACAAATAAAATGGGAAGCTTGTTGGTTTTGAGCTTTATACACAAATGGCTCTAAATGCTCCAAGAGACAACCACTTCATCAAGAATGGAAGGGCTGACGTGGTAGCATTGGTCAATATGAACAAAGAGCAAGGATGGGGTTGCTTAGTGGCCGTTGCTGATGTTCTTGATCCTGATACTCATTCAAGTGATCTCTGCCCTATTAAATCAGAAGCTTATGAGTACTATCCATTCATCTGTCCTCTCTTGTGAAGGTCTGGAATTCCTTCGGGGCTTAAGTATTGGGGATCTTGTCTCGGGAAAACTGTTGAACTTAGTTTTTGATTTTGAATATATGAGGTTAATAGAAATTAATTACTTCTTTCTTTTCATGGTTCTTGAGAGGTACTATCCTAATCAGTGCCATGAGCTTTCAAAGGGTATGAGTATCTATGATGCAACGTTTGGATTGGGGAATATTAGTAATAATCTAAATTGGGAATATGAAGTTTCCATGTCTAATTGGTCTACTTCAAATAGGAACCCAACTGCTCTATTGTGTCGTGGTGAGTTTGCTTATGGTATTCTTGCCATAGTAACATATTATGAATACAGCGAAAAGGAAATCAATATGTCAATTTGTCCTCTTGGAAAATCTGTTTTTGGTGGTAGAAATCAGTCTAGTAAGGGGCTAGGTGGCTGTCCCATAATAGCCACGAGCAACATGACACACTTAGATAAACAGGCACAAGGGTAGGGGTCTCTCTTGTGGCCTTTTGGAGCTTTTAAGGCATTTTTCCTAGACCCTTTTCTAATTACATTTTTTGGCTTTGTCTGTGCTTAATTATTTTCAATCAAATTTTCTTCTAGTCATGTTTATGTGTTGTGTGGAGGTGCTAGTAGGTGGTTCGTGGGGTATGCCATCTTTGGCTAGAGATTTGGCTTGGTATCCTTAGCTTGCAGGGGGACAAAGCCCTATGCAATTAAGGAAGGCAATGCTAATGGGGTATGCAAATTTGAAATCTCAATGATTAGTCCCTGCACTCAACCAGAAAAAATTTTCTTTGTTACAGTAGCTAAAGAAAGCTTTGCTTATCTTTGTAATGGAAGGATTAATCTCCTCAACTACTTTTTGAACCCTCATTATCTTAGATTGTGTGTTGTTTTCTTCTAGAAAATTACAAAAATTTGACATGCTTATGTTGGTGTCTTCGATGTTAGATTTCCTTGTGGGGCTGATAAGTTGGTTACCCTTCATGTGAAAATTGGGAGAATAGCCTCCGCTGGGTCATGGTTTGGAGGGTATTTCTGTTGTTTTTGGCAGAATCTCTTCATATTAGAACCTAGATGGTTCATCAAGGTCTGCCTCTGAGAAATTCATACTTTGATAGGATTAGCTAGTTCTTGGGTCGTGTTTCTCAAGGAGACTTAACAGCTTTCTATTTGTCAATACCACTTGTAGGTCACCAAAGTTCTTATGTGACTTGGATTAGCATGATGCAACAATCCCACACTGATTTCCTTTACAACTGTAAATTCTTGCCTTTCTCCCTAGGCTCCTCATGGCACATATTGGTGGATAGAGTACAAGCTTTGGGAAAGCTTTTCATTCGAGGATGCACATACCTTTATCCTCCTTGGGATGGTGATGAGCTTTGGAGGTTCTCTTCACCGGTTATCCTTCTCTAATTCATGTATTTCTTTTCTGTTGATTTTGGTGTTTCTGTTTTTGGTCCTTTTGGTCTGTAAGAACACTTAATTTTATCTCAATATAGTTACTATTTTGACGGCCTAAAAAAAAAAAAAAAAACTTCAAAACCTGAGATGTTCCATTGCCCGTGGGCGTGAAATATGCCAAACTAGTGCGTCGTCCAATATGATTAATTTCGATGCGGATAAGATTAGATGATTCATGATAGAGTGTATATGACCCAAATTCTCAACTGATCTAGTGCGTTAGATAAGGACAATCCATATTTCTCATCCACTCTACCCCTTTCGACTTCTGAAATGATGGCATTCAATTTTGACCTTCGTCATTCTCTTATCAAAATATACTCTTGGTCCCATCAGCAGCTTTCTAATCACTTTACACTACTAAAAAGACTGAGCGTGCTTAAATTCAAGGTCAAGCACTGGATACCAAACTTGAATTTTACTCAACTTATATATATATATATATATATATATATATATGAGATGAGTTCATGATGATTTAAACTTGTGAGATTTCAAACTGATATGGTAAAGTTCAAGGTCAGCTCTCTTGATTAAATCGAGCTAGAGATCAAACTTAAACTCAATTCATTTACCAAACAAACTAGTTAGACAAATTGATTTTCTTAACAAACTGTTCTTCTTTGGCTGCCTCTGCTGGTTCACATCCTACTAAGGAAAAGGAAAAACAACACTAAGTGCCACTACTAAATGAATGCAGCATGACGAAAGGCCAATATACCAAAAACAAGAAAGAATTAAAACAACGGAATAGGTTAAAGAACCAGTATCTTTCATATTCATCCATGAGACAGTTCTGAGATCCCTTTTCTCGTGTGCGAAGGATCGTTTGTCTGATTATTTAATTGAAGTCTTAAGAAGACGAAAAGAAAGAATGAACTGGTAATGACACATTTTCAATCTATCAATTATCTTGTCATGATTCAAAACACGTCATATAAAGATAAGCATCAGAAGACAAAACCCCTTTTGTAAGAAAAACCAATTTCGCCACGCAGGTAAATTGATTGTTTAAGAATAATGGAGATTTGGGTTTGACTCAAATGAGCAGAGAAAACAGAGGTTTTATCTAAGGAGGAACAAACAAAGTTCTTTTGTCTGAATAAGGTTTATCTGCTTAAACGATGTTCCACTATATCTCTGTTTTAGTGTTCTTTCCCAATGGCACACTGTTTTTTTGTTTTTTGTTTCTTTTTTTTTTTTTTATGGTTTTTTGTTTTTGTTTTTGTATATAAAGATAGGGGAACTCTGCTTCTTTCCCACAGAAATTAATAATGGCTGCGTCATTGCAGAAAGGGGTTCTCTTGCTTTTGGTGATGATGGCAGGTGTTCTCCTGCTTGCAATGTGTTCCGAGGGAGGAAAGATTGATAGTAATAGTATTATTGACAGGTTCGGGTATGATACCTCGAAAATGAAGCATTATAGGAGGATGCTGGAAGGTCAGCTACAAAGGTTGTCACCAGGAGGACCGGATCCCCAGCATCACTAGCCGGCTCCGAACAACCAGAATTTTCCTTTCCCTGTTTGGAAACCTAAGATATGTATAATAAAGGACCCTCTGTTTTGTAATCAAATTACATCAAAGCGCAAAATAGGAGGATCCACAAGGCCTTTTTCATTAAAGGATCTTTATTTTATAATTCGATACAGTTTAGGCTACATAATAATTTTTTTTTAGAATAAATCTTTTTTTTTTCAATTATAGTTTTTTGGTTTGAGGTGAGAGAAGAGAAAATTTTTCTTATTAAAATAATAAAAAATAGAAAAGGGAGGGACTTTCACGTATTTTACTTTAATTTTCTTTGCATATTAATCAAACCAAGGGGGAGAGAAGGGAGGGAAATGAAAGAATAAAGAGTTCAAGAATGAATTCTTCCTTGGAAAAGAATGCTCTTC